GAATTAATGAGTGAGACATGTCTCCATCTCTCTGCCTTGGTTTGCTATCAATCCTGTTTAACATGCCCACTTATGTGAGGTGTGAAGATAAGATTGGTACAAACTCTTCAGGGTGGTGCCAGTTTTGTGATCACCTGTAAGCAAACACTTGGATAAAAACATACATTTTGTTCCTAAAAACAAATAAAGATTTTAAGTGACATCCCAGTCTATATTCTCATTTAAGGGAAAGAAATTATATCTTTTCTTGCAAGGGCACATCCTGTGAAAGACACAAATTATATTACTAATAAATAAATTAACCTCAGCATCTCAGTCTGAAACATCTGAATTTTGGTTAATGGTCATTTCACAATTATCTTAGGCTAAATGTGAGTATTTATTTCTTTTTTAAAAAAACATTTGTGTTATTTATTGATTGATTTGAGAGAGAGAGAGAGAGAGAGAGAGAGAGAAACATTAATATGTTGTTCCACTTATTTATGTATTCATTGGTTGATTCTTCTATATGCCCTGACCAGGGACTGAACCCACAACCTTTGTGTATCAGGATGATGCTCCAACCAACTGACCTACCTGGCCAGGCCTAGTATTTCTTTTAAGTATGTATACAGGGCCCATTCTGGTGGTATCCCTGAGAAAAGGCAGACTGCTTCAAAATGAATTTATGTCTTGCTTTCTAGAAATATAAAACTGCAACTGACTTTTTAAAAAAGTCATTTATTGTGTCCTGTCTGATGTGGTTCAGTTGGTTGGAACATTATCCCAGACACTGAAAGGTCACAGGTTTGATTCCCAGTACATATCTAGGTTGTGGGTTTGGTCCCTGGTGTGATCAATGTTTCTCTCTCACATTGATGTTTCTCTCCCTCTCTTCCCCTTCTTCTCTCTCTATAAATAACATGTCCTCATGTAAGAATTAAAAAGAAGTCAAAGGCGGTTTTTAAAATAGCCAGCTCTCTTTTCAGATCATTTGTATCTGAATAAAGCACCCATAAAGATTTAAAATAAATAAATACAATAAGTCACTTATTGGGCACCTTTTAAAACTTATGAGTACAAAAAGGGGTATGACCTAGCCCATTACTACTTTCCCTCTCTATCTTCTGGTAACTTCAAAATATCTGTATTCTTTTAATTTAAACCTTAAATCTTGCCCCCACACTTTTCTCCCCTCCCTGGACCAATCTTTTACTTTAATCACACACAGGAAGGGATATAGTATCAAAACTGTTGAGCTTCCAAAGGTAATATTTTATGACTTAATGTCATTAGAAACAGGATGTAAAAGAAGTATATGAAGGGTCAAAAACAGAATTAGGAACCTCAGGAAAATTTGGGGTAGAGGGGAGTCTGGGAGTACCTACTTTCCAAGTTCTTTCTCATTCTCTCCTCGCTTAACATTTTCCATATGCAGGTTGGGTTTCTCAGTCTGTGTCTGTTACCCTCTGGGGGTCTTGTATTTCCAAGGCACTATGAGTCGTCTATGAGAATTTTAAAACTTTGTACTTTAAGTTTTATAATATAAGCATATTGGCATATTTTTCAATCATCTGGATTAGCATCTTATATATGTATATGTTTTTCTAGAACCTTATATTTTTATAACAATCTCATGTTTAAGTTTATAATTGAATTGGCATCACATTATACTCTGAAGCTAGCATGTAATTTTTAAGGCACTGTTGCCTGGACTGGAGTTCCTTGAATCCTTTGGAGTCTGAAGAAGTATGTCTCAGTGGATCCTAATTTCTCATGTTTGAAAAACACTGACTTAAACCACCTTCTCTTTTCTCCTTTCTCTCATGAAAGGTAACTAGAAACAGGCACATGAATGGCTAATAGAAACAGACAAAAAAAATTTTTTTTAAATGCCTAGTATTTTTCAGCTTATCTTCAGTATTTGACCAATTTGAGAGGTAAAAAAAAATATAAGTAATTTAGTGGTTTGTTTAAATAAAGCAAAGGTAATACCAGGATATAAAATTGTAAACATGTATAAGAATTGCCAAATGCTTAGAATTAGTTCTTTTCTGTCCACAACAAACCAATCCCATGCTTTTATAATGCTTGCTGTTGAATAAACTTTGTGTATATTTTAGAGAACTTCTCATTCAGGACAGCTCCTGAAGTACATTTTCAGGACCTGCTTCTTTTACTATGTTTGATTCATAAGATTTTTGAAACTCATAAAATAAAAACATTCAGGAAAATCAATCTGTGAATATGATGATTTTTTTTTTCAGTTAAAAAAATTGTTCTTGTTTCCTATCAAAGCATGAAAACTTTATGTCCTTGGAAGTGTACTGTAGTGTTTCTTGGGGGAAATGGGGATGGTGTAGGAAGGGGATAATCTTCATATTTTTTGTCTCTTGCCCCGCTGCTTTTCCATAAGCCGCCTTAGTTGTCTTCATTTCTCCTGAGACATCATTGCCCTCCCAGGGCCTGTTTTTCTTTCAGTCATATTTTCTTTCCTACTTTTTTCCTTGTCTGTTTTTCTTCCATTCTGTTTCAGGCAATCTCTCTTTCTCGCTCTCTCTCTCTCTCATTCTCTCTCTCTCTCTCTTTTTTTTGTGAGCATAATTCAATGTTATTTCCATTTCTTATTTAGCATGAGTTTATGAGTACTTAAAAGATAGTCATCTCTTGGTTGAGTAACAATACAATACAAACTTGGCACTTTCTATTCAGCTCCTCTTATCCTTAAGGCACTCTGGGAAAGTAGATATTCTGTGTCTGTTTTACAGATGAGGAACTAAGGCTGAGAGAGAATGTGTAACTTGTGAAAGACCACATTTAAGTATAATGTCAAAACTCATGCTTTTTTCTCTTAGAGAGGAAAAAAAAGGCTTATGTTCTTTTTACACAGCCTTTGTCAGAGATCTCATCCAGGTTCATGTCAGAAATCTCACGTAAGTCGCTACAGGCCTAATTAACATCTTCTACCCTCATAGTCTAACTTCAATATTTTCAATGTTTGTATATCTAGTTGTTACCTTAAACTGAACCCACCATTTTCTCCCCAAACTAAGCACCCTCCCCACCACTACACCATTTTCTATTAATGGCTCCACCAATTTTTGTCATTCAGGGTCAAAACCTTGGTGTTCATTCATTCAACAAATACCAAATACTGTTGAGCACATAAAAGAAATGTGTTAGGGATGCTGAGGTATACAACAATAAATTTTATGAGATTTCTGGACAAATGAGCCCTGGCTGGCATGGCTCAGTGGACAATGGAGTGCAACCTGGGAACCAAAAGGTTTGATTCTGGATCAGGGCACATGCCTGGGTTGCTGGCCAGGTCCCCAGTTGGGGGCATGCAAGCTGCAACTGAGCTATGTATCTCTTGCACGTCGATGTTTGTCTCCCTTTCTTCCTCCCTTCCCCTTTCACTAAATAAATTAAACATTAAAAATAAAAAAGGACAAACGGGACCCAAACTAGTGTAGGGATATTGGGAGATTTCCTAAAGGAAGCAATGACCAAGGCGGGTAGGGGTGGGCGGGAAGTTTGTTCCCTGAATTAAGGCATAGGAAGATAAAGCAGGGCTTTGGAGGAACCCAAAGATGTATTGCTCAAGTACTGAGTTGTAGTGAAAATGTTAAGTGGGAGAGATACGTTAGAATCCTTTCAAGCATGAAGGATCTGCTAAACTATGTTAAGGAATTTGAAGCCGATCTCTGAAGAGCAGGAGGAAGCCATTAGTTTTATATTTTAAAAGAATCAACCTGCTCAGTTTGGAGAATCTTTTCCCCTTCCAAGCCTGAATCTAACCTATTGCTAAGTCCTGTCGATTGCTTATTGTCTAATCTGTTCCTTCATCTTTGTTCCCACTGCCACCACCCTGATCCCAGCCCTTCTCACCTCAGGCTTAGAGTAAGAGCCCTTTAACCAGTTTTTCTCCAGACTTTCTCCCCTCAATCTACACTGCATACAAAGACTAGACTCATGGTCCTAAAATGCTAATCCAGGAAAACAGTGTAGTCCAAGTCACCCATCTTGGCACTTACGACCATCTCTATCCTATCTAACATTACTACCAAAAATCACTTTCCAATGAGGCTGGCCAGCTTCCTCAAAAATCTTCCTAAATGCACTTCACAATCTTTCCGCATCCCTGCAACCTCTTAACATTATTCCCTTCTCCTCCCCTGGCAGAATGCACTCGTGAGGCATCCTGAGGTCTCCAGCAACAGCGCGTCCTCTTCTCCTTTGATTTCTTCTCACCCAGCATAATATGTGCCAAACATTTCTGCACTGTATTAACTCGTTTTATGTCATAGATAGAGGTCTTAATTTTTTTCTTTCTAAAATGATTTTATTTATTAATTTATTTTCAGAGAGAGGGGAAGGGAGGGAGAAACAGAGAGACACCAATAAGCGAGAGAAACAGGGATTGGTTGTCTTTTTCACGCCCCAAACTGGGGACCCGGCCTGCAACCCAGGCTTGTGCCGTGATAGGGAATCGAACCAGCAACCTTTCCGTTCGCAGGCCGGTGCTCAATCCACTGAATCACGCCAGCGAGGGGTTTATTTTCATTTGTCAGAAAAGACTCTCATATTCTACTCACATAAGCCTCATAAAAGCCTGGCCACGTACTGGATACGCTCAGAACTAGTTAACTTTAACTGAACCGAATCCGGCGGGGTTTGCGGAGTCTGGGGGCGCGGTAGGAAGAGAGGGGGCTGACGCACGGGAGGACAGACTGGAAGCACCGGGTCCCACACAAAATAGCTTCGGAGAAACACGAGACAAGACAGGGTAGAGGAGCAAAGAAGAACAGCGGGTAACAGATACAAGCGACAAGCCCCCTGTGGTGTCGCGAGAAGCAGTCCGCGGCCGTTGGTGGGCGTGGCCGCGCCAGTCTCGCGGGAGCGGCCGTTGGGCGGGCCGTTGTCTCCGCGGGTGGAGCGAGTTGCTAAGGAAATGACTGCCAGCAGCGCCGGGCCGCGCCGCGCCGCGCCGGCCGGGCGGGGTCTGGAGAGGTGCCGTTTCCGCTTCCGCTCCCTCTCTTCAGCAGCCCCGTTACCGCCTCCTGGCCGGCCTCGCGCCTTTCACCGGCACCTTGCGTCGCCGCGCCGCCTGGCTCGCTATTGCCACGCGCGCCCCCGGGGCTCCCGGCTACGGCGCCGGCACGGGTCGCGCTCCGCTCGCCTGCCCCTGAGGCCGCCGGCTAGCCGCCGCCATGGGTGCCTACCTTTCCCAGCCCAACACGGTGAAATGCTCCGGGGACGGGGTCGGCGCACCACGTCTGCCGCTACCCTACGGCTTCTCCGCCATGCAAGGCTGGCGTGTCTCTATGGAGGTGACGCGGAAGGGATTCTTAGGCTGGTCGCTGGAGGGCGGGAACCCGATGGAGAAAAAGGGAGCAGGGGGATGGGGTCGTCCCTGGGGAAGGGTCCAAATAGAGAGCCTGAGTCCCCAGCGGCAGATTGGGGGGCGGCACCGAGAGCGGGCCTGAGGCCGAGAGGGAGCTGCCGGTGCTTGGGGACCCTGTGCCGGTGGCCAGCTTGGTGGTGAGGTCTTGCCATGTGGAGAGAGGCACCTTCTGCCCACTGACCGCCCTCTCCCCGTGCCTTCGCGCCATCCTTTCGTGCCAGCACTGCTCTCCAGGCTCATAAACGGTGTGAGGTTTAGCATGGGAGTAAAGATGAGAAGAGGGACAATATAGTCATTTACTTTTGCGAGGAAGAGGCGAATATATGTGTATGATTGTACTATAGATATTAAAAAAAAAAATAAGTGAGAGGCCTCTTTGGGCGAGGAGTTTGACAGTGAAAGGAAGCCCGGGCAAATAGTATGTTTCAAGTTCTTAACACCTAGTTGCCCTGGGCTCCTCACGTTTATTTCGGAGGCTAGACCTGACCTCCAAGAGTTGTCACCCGTTCGTATCCTCTTCAGGGCCTTTTATGGCCTTTGGAAAATGTGAATTATGTCCATCAGTATTACTCCTTTTTTAAAATTATGTTAGATTATTTTTTTCTCATTTGGGATTTTTCAAAAACTTAATTGTCATTTGCCTGTGCAGATGTCATAGTTTATAGTCTCCTTGATTTGCAGTCATTTCATAATTTTTTTTGGTCTTAACCTACAGAGAACGGATTTTCTTTTCTAGAAAACTTCACTCTGGGTAAAGGGGGAAAAGTCTGGATTAAAATGAGTACTATTGGGTAAAATGGTTTTGAAACTACATAGAAACTAAATAGGAAAACAGGGAACACTGTGGTAGGAAGGAAAGGGAGAAATACCCGTGTAAGATGTGTCTTTGTGAAGATTATTGTGAGATCTAGGCAGAAGGGCCAGGGAAATGCTTTAATTACTTCTGGGATCGAGGGTTTATTCACTTACTAGGTGGGCTTCAGGTAACAGCCAAATACTGTCTCCCTTGGGAATTTCCTCAAATCCCTCGCTCCTCCCTGTGGTTAGCTCTGGAATGGCAGTATAAACTTAAAGGTTTGTTCTCAGGCTCAATTATAATACCCGCAGCAGACTTTAAACAGTTCTATCATTAGGTGTAAATTTCAAGAATGGAGGGGATCCTATAGTTCATCTTATCTGTAGGGTTGGCCAAAAAATTCGTTTGGTTTTTCTGTAAGATGGCTCTAGTAGCACTTAGTTGCCTTTAACTTCATTGGAAACAATTTTGTTAGATTGTATCGTGACAGCTGTAATATCAGCATGCATTTACAAATACCTTAACAAAGTTGGTGAATTTTTGTGTAGCCATTTTAATACTGAAGGTGGAAGAAAATGTGCAACATTTTGGGCAGATTATACTTTACTATTTCAAGAAAGGTAAAAACACACCTGAAACTCAAGAAAAGATTTGTGTAGTGGATAGAGAAGGTGGTGTGACTGACTGAACTGTCAAACGTGGTTTGTAAAGTTTTGTTATGGAGATTTCTCTCTGGATGATGCTCCACGGTCAGGTAGACCAGTTGAAGTTGATAGGGATCAAATCAAGACACTGAGAACAATCAACATTATAACACACAGGCGATAGCCAACATACTAAAAAATCCAAATCAATAAAGTTATTGGTGAAAGTGAAAAATGTGTCTTTTATTTTACAGAAAAAACTAACTGCACCTTTTGGCCAACCCAGTAGTTTAGCTCCCACATTTTACAGCTCAGAAGTTGAAGCCCAGGATGAAATAGTCAGGACACTTACTAGACATTTATCATCTGTGTCAGCCTGAAGTATAACGTTCATATTTTACTGTGGTGCACAGTATTTAGCTTACTGAGTGCTTGGTGCCTGTAATTATCTGACTGTTAGAAATAACGATATAATTTCAAAAGAAAACATTTATGTAAGTCTGGGGTTTGGGTTATTTGGTTGTTTGGAGTTTGCATTTCTATGGCATTCTCTGTTAACACAAGCTCGAGGTGACTATCTCATGTCACAGGAAGGCTTTTCCTTCAGGTTTCTCATTCCATATTTTCCATTTTCCTCTCTGCTGTGGTTTTTCCATTTGTTTAGTACTCTTCTTTTTTGTTTTCCTTATGAATTGGATATTCAGTTTTCCAAGTCGTTTGCCCAGTGATTCTGTGTTTTTTGCTTTCTCTCTGCAGGGCATTTCCCTTTATTTTTGGTTTCTCCTCTGGTAATTAGAAAATGATCTTTTTTTGCATCAGGAGCTGTTTGGTTTTTAGAGATTTTGTTAGACTATTCCTCGGATCCTAATCTTCCTTTTGAGAGATAACCACTTAGGTTTTAAAATTTTTCCCGTTATGCTGTTTCTAAACTTACCTTTTTTGAATAGTTAAATACACCTAATCATATCTTCTCGAGATCCTGTGTGGGATCCTTCTCTCCTTCCTTAATACCTTTCCTTTTGGTTTTGTTTTTTGTTTTTCCCTAAAGTACAACATAGTTTTCTTTGGTATGGCAAGGAAATAAGTGTGACTTCTAGCTTCTTGAGCGAATCTTAGCTTTTCACAAAGTACACCTCTGAGTCTACCAGCTGAGTCTATTGACCTTATCTGCTTGATCCTAATGATTCAGTTGAGGTAAGGTTATCATACCAAAACACATTACAAAGGTTGCTAAAATCCTAACTCATAGATTCAGCCAAAGAAGAGAGTACTATTTTACCCCTTCTCTTGAGGCAAGGATGGAAACTGTTAATAGCTGACATTTTGCACTTTCTGCCTCTCTTTAGCCCCTCTTCCTATGTGGCATCAGGGTGTTTTGAGGAGGGGTAATCAAAATACTACAGTTGGTGTTACCTTCCTTTCTTTCTTCCCCATGGTTTGGAGGGACCCTCAAGCTGGTTGAGGTGTTATGCATTTTGGGTGTTAAGAGACAGGCTACGGAATGGTTCCTTGAGAAGTATATGTGGAAAAGCTTTTGAGTTTTTGGTGACTAATGAGAAGTCCAATATAGTCTACAAGGGATAAAGGTACTTGTAGTTTTTGGTTGTGAGATTCTCTGAAAATGACAAAATTGCTTTTTGTGGGAAGATAGAATTTTTTAAAAAAGTTTAAACTAATTATATTTGCTCTTTTTAAAAGGCAGTATCAATACCTAGAGTATAACTTTGAGTAGGCTGTCCACTCTGGTTATTAACAGTCATAGAGGGTCATCTAGAATTGAATGTAGATAATAATGTTGAGTAGAAAATTCTTTAGCTATCTGCATGACAGTTTCAGATGTATCAATGAGCAAAAATATAAAATAAGCTACTGTAAGCATGCTGTGGGATTCCACTGGAAAGAGGGCGTCTGAGGCTGAAGAGCACTTATGTCTGATCCAGAGATTAGTGTCTCATTTCTAGTGTAAAGCACTTTTTAATGAACCAGGTCAGAATTTCTTTGTCTAGGATGCAGGTAAGCAACTTTTATCAAAGGGCATGCTTTTAATTTCATTAGCATGCAGTACCTCCTCTTCACAATTCAAAGATAGTATGACATGATGTCAAAGTTCTGCCCATAAATATGGAGAAATTGTTTGCTATTATACTGCTCCTTTATAACTCCTCAAGTGACTGGCTTGAGGTCCAATCAGAACTTACTCCTCAAGATGGCAAGAATAGTTTACATCAATTAGTTGTATTGCCTAATCTCTTAGCAGTTACTACTACTTCTCCACCCCTAATCTTTTGGGTTATCATCTTGGAATTCTCCTTTGAGTGGTAAGAACTTGATTTTGAGTGTAGAAATTTAACAGATCTGATCAGTAGCTCTTCTCATTTTAAGCTGCTATTCAAATTATGCTTTCTGGAAAGCACAGATCTTTAGAAGTGAATTTAATCTGGTTCAAAAATGAAGTATATCAACTTTTAATGATATATAGTATTTGGAAATGTATATACAGGTTATTTTTTAAATAACTTTGAAATATAATTCACATGCCACATACATTTAAAGTACACATTTCTGTGGTTAATTTATTCAGAGATTTGTAACCATCATCACTATCAATTTTTGAACATTTTCATAACCTCTGAAAGAAACCTTGTAACCATTACCAAGTTACTCCCTCCTCTAACCTCTGGCAACCACTAATTTACATTATGGATTTGCCTACTCTGAGTATTTCATATAAATGGAATTATATGTCACTTTTATGTCTGTCTTTTACTAAAGATGATATTATTAAGGGTCATCCATGTTGTATCATTAATCAATCAGTACTAAATACGTTTTTATGGCTGAATAATATAATACAGTATGCCATTTTAGGGCCATTTTGTTTATCCCTCAGTTGATGGATGTTGAGTAGATTTCCACATTTTGGCTACTATGGATAATGATGCTATGAACATTAATGTACAAGTTTTTGTGTCACAATACGTTTTTATTTCTTGAGTATATACCTAGGAGTCGAATTGCTGGTTCATGTAATAACTCCATGTTATTTTGAGCTGCCTAACTATCTTCCAAAGTGGTTGTACCGAAGGTGTCAGTTTCTCCACATCCTCCTTGCACTTGTTATTATCTATCTTTTATTACAGTGCATGTGAAATGGTATGTCATTGTGGTTTTGATTTCCGTGGTGGCTAATGATGTTTGAGTATCTCTTCTTGTGCTTGTTAGCCATTTATATATCTTTGGAGAAATGGCTATTCAGATTCTTTGTCCATTTTTAATTGGGTTGTCTTTTTTTTTTTCTTTTTACTGAGATTGAATATTTTCTATATTCTGGATACAAGTCCCTTATCAGGTAGGATTTGCAAGTATTTTCTCCCATTCTGCCATTCTGCTTTCTTGTTGCAGTGCTGTGAAGCACAAAAGTTTTAAATTTTGAAGTCCAGTTTATCAAGACTTTTATAGTTTGAGCTTTTACTTTTAGGTATGTCA